CACAAATCCGTAAGTTTAAGGCTAGACATTTGAATTGATATCACTAGAACAAACAGGCACAAATCCGTAAGTTTAAAGCTAGACATTTGAATTGATATCACTAGAACAAACCGGCACAAATCCGTAAGTTTAAGGCTAGACATTTGAATTGATATCACTAGAACAAACAGGCACAAATCCGTAAGTTTAAGGCTAGACATTTGAATTGATATCACTAGAACAAACAGGCACAAATCCGTAAGTTTAAGGCTAGACATTTGAATTGATATCACTAGAACAAACAGGCACAGATACGTAAGTTTAAGGCTAGACATTTGAATTGATATCACTAGAACAAACAGGCACAAATCCGAAAGTTTAAGGCTAGACATTTGAATTGATATCACTAGAACAAACAGGCACAAATCCGTAAGTTTAAGGCTAGACATTTGAATTGATATCACTAGAACAAACAGGCACAAATCCGTAAGTTTAAGGCTAGACATTTGAATTGATATCACTAGAACAAACAGGCACAAATCCGTAAGTTTAAGGCTAGACATTTGAATTGATATCACTAGAACAAACAGGCACAAATCCGTAAGTTTAAGGCTAGACATTTGAATTGATATCACTAGAACAAACAGGCACAAATCCGTAAGTTTAAGGCTAGACATTTGAATTGATATCACTAGAACAAACAGGCACAAATCCGTAAGTTTAAGGCTAGACATTTGAATTGATATCACTAGAACAAACAGGCACAAATCCGTAAGTTTAAGGCTAGACATTTGAATTGATATCACTAGAACAAACAGGCACAAATCCGTAAGTTTAAGGCTAGACATTTGAATTGATATCACTAGAACAAACAGGCACAAATCCGTAAGTTTATGGCTAGACATTTGAATTGATATCACTAGAACAAACAGGCACAAATCCGTAAGTTTATGGCTAGACATTTGAATTGATATCACTAGAACAAACAGACACAAATACGTAAGTTTAAGGCTAGACATTTGAATTGATATCACTAGAACAAAAACAGGCACAAATACGTAAGTTTAAGGCTAGACATTTGAATTGATATCACTAGAACAAAAACAGGCACAAATACGTAAGTTGTAGAGATAGCATCTAATTCTAAACCGCTGCCCAAGCCAGTTAGTCGGAGTTTGCCGTGTTGAGGCCTGCCTGGGTAATGGGAGACAACTCCTGAGCCGGTGATGCCCTGGCTAATGGGAGACAACTATTGAGCCGGTGATGCCCTGGTTAATGGGAGACAACTCCTGGGCCCGTGATGCCCTGGCTAATGGGAGACAACTCCTGGGCCGGTGATGCCCTGGCTAATGGGAGACAACTCCTGAGCCGGTGATTCCCTGGCTAATGGGAGACAACTATTGAGCCGGTGATGTCTGTAAAGAAAGAAAAAAAAGTACATTCAGCCATTGTTTTACTCTAGCTAACCCGACCATATGAAGTGCTGGTCCCTACTCGGATACACATATCAAGATGGATTCACTGATCAAAGTCTGGAAGAATACATTTACCTGGATATTTTGTTGACCACACTACATCACATAGATGAACATGGCATTAACGTGTAGCTCACACCAATAGTGCCAGACACGTGACGATAGGTAAATTGACTAATTAAATTTTACCTGCCAATTACCACAAGACGTGTCTCATTATTCACTGTGGCGTATAACATTAATAACATGACTGATAGTAGCTCTAGCGTACCTGAGAATGACTGACTTTAAGAATGATAATAGCTCTAGCGTACCTGAGAATGACTGACTTTAAAAATGACAGTAGATCTAGCGTACCTGAGAATGACTGACTTTAAGACTGACAGTAGCTCTAGCGTACCTGAGAATGACTGACTTTAAGAATGACAGTAGATCTAGCGTACCTGAGAATGGATGACTTTAAGACTGACAGTAGCTCTAGCGTACCTGAGAATGGCTGACTTTAAGACTGACAGTAGCTCTAGCGTACCTGAGAATGACTGACTTTAAGAATGATAGTAGCTCTAGCGTACCTGAGAATGACTGACTTTAAGAATGATAGTAGCTCTAGCGTACCTGAGAATGACTGACTTAAAGCCTGACTCATGACTGACTTAAACCTGACTCATGACTGACTTAAACCTGACTCATGACTGACTTAAATGACTGTCTTTAAACCTGACTCATGACTGACTTAAAACCTGACTCATGACTGTCTTTAAACCTGACTCATGACTGTCTTTAAACCTGACTCATGACTGTCTTTAAACCTGACACATGACTGTCTTTAAACCTGACTCATGACTGTCTTAAACCTGGCTCATGACTGACTTAAACCTGACTCATGACTGACTTAAAACCTGACTCATGACTGACTTAAACCTGACTCATGACTGACTTAAAACCTGACTCATGACTGACTTAAAACCTGACTCATGACTGACTTAAAACCTGACTCATGACTGACTTAAAACCTGACTCATGACTGATGTAAAGCTGACTCATGACTGACTGACTCCTCTGGCAGGTTATCCGGCGGATCTAGCCTCAGGAATCCACCAACTGTTTCAAAACAAAATTTCACGTCTGCCGATGGAGCAGACGTTTTGCACCATGATGTCACAAGGCGATGACGTCACTGAAAGGTATCGTGAAGACTTTCGGTCTATGGGCTGTATCTGTAATGTTAAGACGTGCTATCTCTAAAGTGTTAAGCGATATCAATACTTACTATCAATGTATTGTATCATGAGGGTTGCGATTTATGGGTTTTGTATGCAATGTAGGTACTTAATATCTACTGCTTACAATTACTTTTGTATGTTGTATATTGTGCTTTAACTTATGACAAGCTTGTATAAAGCTACTTCTATGCCAATGACAATTCCATCATCTCCAACACTTTACCATCAACAGCAGCCCAGTACCAGACGATCTAATTATCTCCCCTCTCGACCCAAAACGTCACGCAAAAATCGTCAACTCGACCTGGGCATATAAAATGGACAACTCCGAGCTATATATAGAACAGATGATTCAGCAGTTTCCTTCTTGTGGCGTCTTTGACAAGTATGGGCTTTTATAAAACACAAATTAATTTTAATTAGATTGTGATAATACAATCTGTTGTTGGTTTGATTGTGCTGGTCAATTAACATTGTCAAGCTTAGAGGATGGGAAGGTGAGTGGTTGATTGATGGAGTCAGCAGGGGAGTCTTAGAGTCAGTTGGTGAGTCACACAGTCAGTTGGAGAGTCATAGAGTCAGTTGGAGAGTCATATAGTCAGTGCATGAGTCACATAGTCAGTGGGTGAGTCATCAAGGCAATGGGTGAGTCATCAAGTCAATGGGTGAGTCATGGAGTCAGTGGGTGGGTCATCAAGTCAATGGGTGAGTCATAGAGTCAGTTGGTGAGTCATCAAGTCAATGGGTGAGTCATGGAGTCAGTGTGTGAGTCATATAGTCAGTGAATGAGTCATTGAGTCAGTGGGTGAGTAATAGAGCCATTGGGTGAGTCATGGAGTCAGTGTGTGAGTCATATAGTCAGTGAATGAGTCATTGAGTCAGTAGGTGAGTAATAGAGCCATTGGGTGAGTCATAGAGTCGATGAGTCATAGAGTCATTGGACCTGATGTAGATCAACTGAACCATCTCTGGTATTAGACATATAATAGGACTCTGTGCTGTGTGTGTTAACAGCACGGGTTGCTGTACCTCTTAGTGTCCCACATCCCTCACATTTATATCGATGTAGACTAGAGATTTATCTACACATCCCCCCCCCCCTCACCCACACTAAACCTCTTACCTTTATTGTAGACACTAAATATTAAAAACAATTATTTTACTGTACAGGAGTGGCCAATGTCTAGGTCACGTGATAGGAACCGATTCCGGCACGTTCGGAATTCTTTACGTGGTTCCAGAAATGAGACGTCACGGCCTGGGTCAGATGCTGCTACGTGGGATATCTAAGGCTTACTTCGACCTTGACCTCCCGTGTGCGGCTTACTGTCACGTGGACAACGCCCAAGCCATCCAGCTGTTTGAGAAGACCGGATTCAAGAAGAGCACCGCCATCAACATGATGTACTACCGTCCGTCTTGAGTAGAGAGTTTTGTCAAGGCATCTCTACCCCCCCTCCCCCCCCCCCCCCGAAAGTTTCAAGTGCGCTCCCCCCCCCCCCCCCCCCCCAGCAGAAAATGTCTGAAAGAAACACTGCCAGAGTACAAGTCACGATGTGTCCGGATTATGTTTGAAGCGTTATAAACCGTAACAAATGATGTGTTATGTTTGATATAACTAGATTAATGTATTATGTTTGATATAACTAGATTAATGTATTATGTCTGATATAACTAGATACATGTATTAAGTTGGATATAAATAGATTAATGTTTTATGTTTGACATAACAAGATTAATGCATGTTTTACGTGACTTAATGTGTTGTGTTTTACGTGAAAAAAACAAACAACATTTATATGATCACATGACTTAAAAATATATATCTTTATACTCTGTGTAAAGAAAGGTTCACACATTTCATTTGTTACAATGTAACAGTGAATAAAATACTTTTCTCATATATAGCGAAAGGAATATTATAATTGGTAGTTATAGTATTGTGTGTTGTTGTGTGTCGAAGTTACACACTGGGGTTTTACACGTTGTTTCAAAACCCTCACTCTTTATCTGCTAATTCTAATTATCGTGTTTGTACTAACCTCACAGACTTATTTATATGTGTACTGACCACACATAGATAAGTCTGTGTATACTGACCACACATACTTATCTATATGTGTACTGACCACACATAGATAAGTATGTGTGTACTGACCACACATACTTATCTATGTGTATACTGACCACACATACTTATCTATATGTGTACTGACCACACATAGATAAGTATGTGTATACTGACCACACATACTTATCTATGTGTATACTGACCACACAGACTTATCTATATGTGTACTGACCACACATAGATAAGTATGTGTGTACTGACCACACATACTTATCTATGTGTACACTGACCACACAGACTTATCTATGTGTATACTGACCACACATACTTATCTATGTGTATACTGACCACACATACTTATCTATGTGTATACTGACCACACATACTTATCTATGTGTATACTGACCACACAGACTTATCTATATGTGTACTGACCACACATAGATAAGTATGTGTGTACTGAACACACATACTTATCTATGTGTATACTGACCACACAGACTTATCTATGTGTACTGACCTCACATACTTATCTATGTGTGAACTGACCACACAGACTTATCCTATATGTACTGACCTCCCAAAATTATCCTGTATGTACTGACCACACACAGTTATAACGTGTGAACTATCCACACACTCTTGTCTTATCCATTTCACCAAATTAAAATTTTGGGAGTTAACAAAAAAAGTTGAACTATCCCTGTCTGTATCCCATGTATTTCATTATTTCTAACTTATTTACATTTAACCTACCCCGGTTTTAGCGACAAGGTGAAGGCCAATAACATGCCCCTCTCCCCCCATCCTTTTTTTAGCGCAATTTCCATTCTGGAGAATTGCGTTTATTAACCCGTCATTTCTTGATGGATGGATGGATGGATGTGTGTTCGCAGCTTTAAGTCGTATCTCCTCCTCAACGAAGCAATATCGAGGACTAGTTCCAAAAGCAATTATGTTAAGCAAGTTATGAGGATGATAGTGGGCCAAAAAAATTCCGGAATTCCTTCCTGGATTTCCCAGAAAAGCCAAAAAAACTCGAAAAAATGCAGTTTTTGACCCATATCTCGGCAATCAGACCACTTATCACTTAGCGACTTGAAACATTTACCAATCGATTCCTGCCATAATTTAGAACAATATTGCAGAAGAAAGTTTTCAAAAATATCCTCTCGTTCGGTCACAAAACGTGATGGCGCAGCCATGTAACGTGATGACGATTTAAAATTGTTATGGATAACATAAGGAAATTGCGCTTAAATTGTCACTAGACTTTTTAATTAACTTGTTTTTACAAGCTTTTATTTAACTCACTTCCTCGTCAGTCTGTCATCAGTCTAGTTCGAAACGCAGGAGTGAAAATTCGGACAGTTCTACTTGACCGATACGATTCACAGTTGGCACGTGGGTCAAGACATGAAGACAATGCAATCTGAAACTAAATTTGACTTAATTGGATGCCTAATTAATTTTTTATAAATTAATTAAAATTTGGACCGAATTATTAGGCATGTCTATCCAACCACACCACGCGCGTCATCACGTTCCATAGCTGCGCCATCAGGTTGAATAGTTGCGCCATCACGTTCAATAGACGCGCAATGGTTTTTAGTCATGTAACACTATTGTAAATAAAAAATGTAAAGTACTGAAATTTTTTTAATTAAAAAACGTTTTAATAACAAGCTTTTATGTACTAATGTACTAAAAAGTAGAAAATAAATTATAGACTACTATTTAAATAACTATAAAGAAAAGCGTGGGTCTCTTCTCAAATATTAGTAAAGGTATAAAATAGGTACTAAAGTACTAAAGTGACCCACGCTTTTCTTTATAGTTATTTAAATAGTAGTCTATAATTTATTTTTTACATTTTAGTGCATTAGTACATAAAAGCTTGTTATTAAAACGTTTTTTTAATGAATTTTTACTATTTCTTAATTTATTTATTCATAGAAAACGAAAGTACATCTATTTTTTTAAACAAAAATCATGGATAGGATTAGTACTAGGATTAATACTTTAACTTGAGTTTATTTTAGAACGCGGCGACGTTAATGTTTAGACACGAACATGGAATGGTGTGCCGCAGTGTTAAATAATTGCTGTTCTGCGTGAGGTGTAAACAAAAAAAAATTCTATAAAATACAAAACCAACCTAAAGAGAAACTACAAGAGGTAAATGCGACGAAAAATGGCCGCTCTAGCGATATCATGACCTAGATTTACGATTAAAAACTTAGATTTGAAAAAATAACGAATTTAATAGAGAAAATCTTATCGAAAGATGGGAGGGTCGTAATGGAATTAAAGAATTAAAAAACGCCTGTGTAAAAAAACGTCTGAACAAATATTTTTGTATCCACTTTGTCAATATTTTATAATTTTTCATGTATTTAACTACTCTAAACGTTTAATTTCTTGTATCGACTGCCCTAGTATGTTCATTATTTCAACAATGTTTCCTGTCTGTTGCTTAACTTTATTATTAAAAAATTCAAATTAAACTTTTGCATAATGTTTGATTCAGACATAACAACTGCTAAAGTCATGAATAACATGGCCGGTTAATTATCTGAGATAATGACATATTGTCAGTATTTAATGTAAAACCTCTATTAGTCTGGTGGCTCATATCAGTCTAGTTAGATCACAGCTGTTGATTTGAAATACATGGCCACTGGAATAAAGATTACCTGTGTGACACTTTCTAATTATTTTAGAATAGTTATATTTTTTTTCACGTGAAAGATGAATCATACAAATAGTTTAATGATATAGAAATATCATTTGCAGAAATAATGGTCAGAAAAATAGCATTACGAAAATTGTGGTCCAAAAAAAAAAAAAACATTTACAGAAAAGATGGTGAAAAATAATTCACAGAAATTATGGTCCAAAAAGTGGTTCGTGGTGAGGGACAGAGGTCGTAGTACTCTTCACACTGAGAGTCAAGGTCGTGGTACTCATCAAGGTGAAGGTCAGACATCGTGGTACTCATCACAGTGAAGGTCAGAGGTCGCATCAATTAACATGACTAATGTATCACAAGCTCACATCTGGCTGTCGCGATATATACCTCTCCTATCAAGACACTAAGACACATGTTAGGTATTGCTTGAGACATACGGCCAACTTGTCTACCAGGTGTGTAGACGCTGTAAGACAGATGACTTTGACGCCATTCTTAAGGTAAGGACGCCAATAGTTGATTGAAGTATGACAGCCTTGTCAAACATTCAAGTGTTCAATAAAGGTTAGGTAGCTAGGTTAGGTTAGCCGGCCGTTCCACTCTGATAGGTTAGGTTAGCCGGTCGTTCCACTCTGATGGGTTAGGTTTGGTTAGCCGGTCGTTCCACTCTAATGAGTTAGGTTAGTGTTAGTGGATACAGGGGTGTCACTTGGTGGGGTGGATGCAGGGGCGTGACTTGGTGGGGTTGATACAGGGGCGTCACTTGGTGGGGTGGATACAGGGGTGTCACTTGGTGGGGTGGATGCAGGGGCGTGACTTGGTGGGGTTGATACAGGGGCGTCACTTGGTGGGGTGGATACAGAGGCGTCACTTGGTGGGGTGGATACAGGGGCGTCACTTGGTGGGGTGGATACAGGGGCGTCACTTGGTGGGGTGGATACAGAGGCGTCACTTTATGGGGTGTATACAGGGGTGTCACTTGATGGGGTGGATACAGGAGCGTGACTTGGTGGGGTTGATACAGGGGTGTCACTTGATGGGGTGGATACAGGGGCGTCACTTGATGGGGTGTATACAGGGGTGTCACTTGATGGGGTGGATACAGGGGCGTGACTTGATGGGGTGGATACAGGGGCGTGACTTGGTGGGGTGGATACAGGGGCGTGACTTGGTGGGGTGGATACAGGGGCGTGACTTGGTGGGGTGGATACAGGGGCGTCACTTGGTCGGGTGGATACAGGGGCGTCACTTGGTGGGGTGGATACAGGGGCGTCACTTGGTCGGGTGGATACAGGGGCGTGACTTGATGGGGTGGATACAGGGGCGTGACTTGGTGGGGTGGATACAGGGGCGTCACTTGTCGGGGTGGATACAGTCAATACAGGGGCGTCACTTGGTGGGGTGGATACAGGGGCGTCACTTGATGGGGTGGATACAGGGGCGTGACTTGATGGGGTGGATACAGGGGCGTGACTTGGTGGGGTGGATACAGGGGCGTCACTTGGTGGGGTGGATACAGGGGCGTCACTTGGTGGGGTGGATACAGGGGCGTCACTTGGTGGGGTGGATACAGGGGCGTCACTTGGTGGGGTGGATACAGGGGCGTCACTTGGTGGGGTGGATACAGTCAATATAGGGGCGTCACTTAGTTCCTCTTTAGACCTAGCGATTTATTGGGCACATGAAGTGGGTTACATATGTTTCTTCACCTCAGCATTTGAAGGGATGTACAACCGCTTTTTTTCCCCAACGTAAGTCAGGTACCCATCAGAGCTCGGGGAATTCAGGGACGTTCTACAGTCACAAGTCCTAACCGAGATCCGAACTAGAGACCTTCGAGCTGGTAGTCAAACGCTCTACCATTCGACCACTCACCGCGAAAGACTGAGGTAACTCTTGATCAAGCCAGGCTAGCAGCTGTGGGATTTCCTGCTCTGTTACAAGATGGAGCTCGTCACACATTCTCCTGGTGGAAACTATTTTAATTGACACAGTCCTATGGTGAAGTAGTAAGTTTTAATTTTACCAATTGTAGACAAAGGTTTCAAATGGGACAGCGAAGTCCCCCCGAAATTTTTTTACCGCCCCCCGAACGAAATGAAATTTATATAATTTATTATAGAAAATATATACTTTTAACAGTGTCCGCCCCCCCCCCCCCCCCCGAAGAAAGTCTACCGCCCCACCGAAAATTTCAAGTGCCCCCCCCCCCCCCGCCGGAGAAAAAAGTCTGGAAGAAACGCTGCTTGTGTAGAGTGGAAACTCTCTAACCGAATGCTTCTTAAAAACAAACTATTGCAAATAAATAATTTGCATGACGTCACCTTCCTTCCGTCTTATTACGGTAAGACTTAAATTTTATTTAATTATTTTAAGGTTAATTATATTTTTTTCTACATTTTAGAATGGATTTAAACTTTAATTTCAAGCTTAGAAATACTATTTTCAATCTGCTTAATACTTTAGTTATATTTTGAAGTCTCTTCTATTAGTTTGAAATTCATCAAAAAAGTGCACCCCAAATTATGGATGTTTAGTTGAACGCGTTCTTATGGTTGCAAAAGGCCTCTTCGTCTCTGGTGGTCTTAGCAATATTTTGATATGGAGTCTGCGGTTGTTAAACCGTTGACACGAAGACGCGGCAATATCAAATCAGACAACCCAGTCGCCAAGAACGCAAACGTTAACCAGATGGAGAATGTTGGTAACTGCGAACCCCATGTTAACTTCAAGGTGGATACTTTGGCCGACCCTGTTTCAAACCTTTGCAAGCCTGTAACCTGTCCCTCTTTTCGGACGTTTCGTAAAAATGCCGAGAACAAAGCCAACGAGAACGTCGAGACCACACCAGCGACTGCCGTGGGAGAAGATGAAGCGACGAAACCTGAGGTAAATTTAGAAGAGAAAGATGTGTGTTGTGATGCCCGTACCCCCTCTCCCGAGTATGACGTGCTTGAGGTTGTCGAAACGAATCCTCGCATGCTAGAAAAATCGGTACCGTCACCCACACACTCCTCAGCTGAAAACCACAACGGTATGTGTAAATCACCCCACACAAACGAACAGCTGACTTCGTTTCAACCTTCAAACCCTCATTGTGAAATAGATTCATTCGTCCCCAATGTCACAACTGACCAGATTGATTCATTCGTTCCCGGTGTTATAACTGACCAACCTGACCAGATAGATTCTTTCGTCCCCAATGTCATAGTTGAACAGATAGATTCATTTTTCCCCGATGTCATAACTGAAAAATCTGACCACAAAGACTCACCTGTCCCCCATGTGATAACTGACCAGGTAGATTCATTCATTCCCGATGCCCCAACTGACCAGGTAGATTCCTTTATTCCCGATGCCACACCTGACCAGTCTGAGCTAATCCCAGACACGGTGCAGACGTTTGTCCAGCCGGTCGTGTCTGAGGTGAGTTGCAACGACCAGGAGGTGGAGGACTTCCTCTCTAACTCTCGTCATCTGGGTGGTCCTCAATTGCCGGACCGTGACTCAGTCCTCTCCCAGCACGGGGACAATCAGATGCCGGACCCAAGCCCACCACCGCGGGCTGAGTACGGGCTTCAGCTAATCAAGCCAGACGAGCGAGACTCGCTGAGTGAAAACAAAGAAGATCTGCAGCTAGATCGTGGCGAGACACAGAGCAACTCCGTGTATGTTCTACAGGGCAGGTGTGAGCTGAACCCACCGAACCCTTACACGGCCACTGTGGTTTGTTCTATAAACTCAGCCCAGCCTATCGGGGATTGTAATCTACCCAACATAGGTGATACACAAGAACTCAATCTTTCAAACATCGGTGATACACAAGAACTCAATCTTTCAAACATCGGTGATACACAAGAACTCAATCTTTCAAACATAGGTGATACACAAGAACTCAATCCTTCAAACATCGGTGATACACAAGAACTCAATCTTTCAAACATAGGTGATACACAAGAACTCAATCTTTCAAACATTGGTGATACACAAGAACTCAATCTTTCAAATATCAACGATACCCAAGGCTATAATGCTCCAAGCATTAGTGATTCACAAGACAAACTGGATCAGTTGGATATTATGGAAATGGAAGCAGTAAAAAACGGTAACGAGGAAGATCTAGAAACGAATGGTCAGTATGGTGGTCAGTCAGAGGAAGACACGATGCAGGTTCTAGACAGTTGTGACATTGGGGAAAGTTGTTTGCCATCCGAGCACGGGGAGGTTTGCACTTTGGACCAGAGTCAAGCAGTTTATGAAGCGACCCACGGGGCAGGAGATTTTGCAGTTAATGTCCACACCGCGAAGGATGTCTGCGACCATGAAGAGAATCAACACATTACACAGGAAGAAACTTGTCCGTCGTTTGAAGAAATAGACGAAAAACGTCTTTCCATCGATGAATTAGATGAGAAGCGTCTTTATCCAGACGACTCAAGCAGTGGGTGTGTGTCGGCCGATAATAACGACGACCTCTGCGATTCGGGCGCCGACGAAGATAAACGTGTCGATACAAAGGAGGGTGAGGCAGCCCCACGTCTCTCCTCCTCACACAACCACGCGGGCGACAACAACACACCTCATCAGTCCCACAGGCTAGGTCCCGGTGAAGCCGATGAGATGTTCCGCTACTCCAGGAGATGCAGCGAGGCGGGGCTGGTCGATGCCCCAACTGACCAGGTAGATTCCTTCATTCCCGATGCCCCAACTGACCAGGTAGATTCCTTTATTCCCGATGCCCCAACTGACCAGGTAGATTCATTCATTCCCGATGCCCCAACTGACCAGGTAGATTCATTCATTCCCGATGCCCCAACTGACCTGGTAGATTCATTCATTCCCGATGCCCCAACTGACCAGGTAGATTCATTCATTCCCGATGCCCCAACTGACCAGGTAGATTCATTCATTCCCGATGCCCCAACTGACCAGGTAGATTCATTCATTCCCGATGCCCCAACTGACCAGGTAGATTCATTCATTCCCGATGCCCCAACTGACCAGGTAGATTCATTCATTCCCGATGCCCCAACTGACCAGGTAGATTCCTTTATTCCCGATGCCCCAACTGACCAGGTAGATTCCTTTATTCCCGATGCCCCAACTGACCAGGTAGATTCCTTTATTCCCGATGCCCCAACTGACCAGGTAGATTCCTTTATTCCCGATGCCCCAACTGACCAGGTAGATTTCTTTATTCCCGATGCCCCAACTGACCAGGTAGATTCATTATTCCCGATGCCCCAACTGACCAGGTAGATTCCTTTATTCCCGATGCCCCAACTGACCACGTAGATTCATTCATTCCCGATGCCCCAACTGACCAGGTAGATTCCTTTATTCCCGATGCCCCAACTGACCAGGTAGATTTCTTTATTCCCGATGCCCCAACTGACCAGGTAGATTCCTTTATTCCCGATGCCCCAACTGACCAGGTAGATTCATTCATTCCCGATGCCCCAACTGACCAGGTAGATTCCTTTATTCCCGATGCCCCAACTGACCAGGTAGCTTCCTTTATTCCCGATGCCCCAATTGACCAGGTAGATTCATTCATTCCCGATTTCCCAACTGACCAGGTAGATTCCTTTATTCCCGATGCCCCAACTGACCAGGTAGATTCATTCATTCCCGATGCCCCAACTGACCAGGTAGATTCATTCATTCCCGATGCCCCAACTGACCAGGTAGATTCATTCATTCCCGATGCCCCAACTGACCAGGTAGATTCATTCATTCCCGATGCCCGAACTGACCAGGTAGATTCCTTTATTCCCGATGCCCCAACTGACCAGGTAGATTCCTTTATTCCCGATGCCCCAACTGACCAGGTAGATTCATTTATTCCCGATGCCCCAACTGACCAGGTAGATTCATTCATTCCCGATGCCCCAACTGACCAGGTAGATTCCTTTATTCCCGATGCCCCAGCTGACCAGGTAGATTCCTTTATTCCCGATTCCCCAACTGACCAGGTAGATTCCTTTATTCCCGATGCCCCAACTGACCAGGTAGATTTCTTTATTCCCGATGCCCCAACTGACCAGGTAGATTCATTCATTCCCGATGCCCCAACTGACCAGGTAGATTCATTCATTCCCGATGCCCCAACTGACCAGGTAGATTCCTTTATTCCCGATGCCCCAACTGACCAGGTAGATTCATTCATTCCCGATGCCCCAACTGACCAGGTAGATTCCTTTATTCCCGATGCCCCAACTGACCAGGTAGATTCATTCATTCCCGATGCCCCAACTGACCAGGTAGATTCCTTTATTCCCGATGCCCCAACGGACCAGGTAGATTCCTTTATTCCCGATGCCCCAACTGACCAGGTAGATTCATTCATTCCCGATGCCCCAACTGACCAGGTAGATTCATTCATTCCCGATGCCCCAACTGACCAGGTAGATTCATTCATTCCCGATGCCCCAACTGACCAGGTAGATTCCTTTATTCCCGATGCCCCAACTGACCAGGTAGATTCATTCATTCCCGATGCCCCAACTGACCAGGTAGATTCATTCATTCCCGATGCCCCAACTGACCAGGTAGATTCATTCATTCCCGATGCCCCAACTGACCAGGTAGATTCATTCATTCCCGATGCCTCAACTGACCAGGTAGATTCATTCATTCCCGATGCCCCAACTGACCAGGTAGATTCATTCATTCCCGATGCCCCAACTGACCAGGTAGATTCATTCATTCCCGATGCCCCAACTGACCAGGTAGATTCATTCATTCCCGATGCCTCAACTGACCAGGTAGATTCATTCATTCCCGATGCCCCAACTGACCAGGTAGATTCATTCATTCCCGATGCCTCATCTGACCAGGTAGATTCATTCATTTCCGATGCCCCAACTGACCAGGTAGATTCATTCATTCCAACTGACCAGTCTGAGCTGATTCTAGACATGTTGCGGATGTTTGTCCAGCCGGTCGTATCTGAGGTGAGTTGCAACGACCTGGAGGTGGAGGACTTCCTTACTAACTCTTGTCATCAGGGCGGTTTTCGATTGACCTCTGGCATTGCCAGTTCCAGCAAGAGCACGACATTCAAAGTAACAGGGCTTTTATACAACCTGCACCTGACATTATACTTCTCGATAATACTCGGTAAGTCACCACCATTTCTTCATTAGCAATTTTTAACTTTTCCCATGTAATAATAGCGCCATGTTCCTCAATTTTGCTAGTACTTCTCTAACTGTTTGTATATGTGTATTGATATCCTTAGTATGGATGGATATATCATCTACAAAATGTACCACATTCTTTATATTTGCAAGCATTGTTCTCATGATTCTTGAGAATGTAGCTGTTGAGTTCACTAGGCCAAAAGGCATGCCATTCCACTCAAATAATCCTTCTTCAGTTGTAAACGCCGTGTATTGTTTAGATTCCTCATCCATCCCTATTTTCCAAAAACCTCTAAGTCCAGGTGTGTGAAAATTGTTGAGTTCCCGATTTCATCTAATAGTTATCTATTATTTCTCAATGGTTCAGCGTCTATTTTTGTGATTTTATTAAGTTCTCTATAGTCACAGTAAATTCTTACTTTCCCATTCTTCTTTTTTTACTATTACCATGGGTTAAGGTTCAGATGAATTTGGCGTTGTATTTTGTTAGTTTCGATCAAGTGATTTAATTCTTTCTTGACTGCATCTCTATATGCATAAGGTGCTGCATATTGTTTCTTTATTAAAGTTCCATCTTTGTTTAACTCTATATCATGTGTAGTCGTTTGTGTATAGCCAATAGCTTGTTACTTAAATGTAACAATAGCTGATACTTGAATGTAGATCTCGATAAATTTACTTACTTACTTACAATGACAATGTAACAATACGTTGACCACTTCTGCTTGATGACTATTTCTGATAATGTAAAAACTGCGTAGACAACTTTTGATTGAAAAACCGCTTCTGCCACCAATGTAACAACGTTGAATATGACAACATTTTTGTTGTTGTGAGTTCTTTCATCCAAAAATACGATCACCAGTATTTTTAACATTAAACTTTATTATTATTAATAAAATAGCTCTACAAGAATACTGATGATAAATACATAGTAGAATAACGACTATCAAATTAAAATCTAGAAACCAAGTGACGTGGTGACAGCTTACAACATTCTTCTATACAGGCACCTATCTTTCTAGTCCACCTTACGCTCCCCTTTTATATCCTTCATTCTCTACCCGTTTAAATTTTTTTTTTTTATAACACGTTTTTATTAACTCAGCTTCGCGTGTGTTTGTTGTTAAAATTGACATCGAAAATTAACCCACTTCTGATTGCTCAATAGATCTGAAATTTGGCATGTAGGCTACTTTCGCCTAACAATTTCAGATGCAATCATAAAAACTAGCAATTAGAGACGGTAATTAGCTTAATTTAATTACGCCCCAAGGACCATAAAATTGAGGACATGATTTCTAAAGATACCGACAAGACTGGAGGCTTATAGACACAGTTACTTCGGCCCCAATCGATGTGAGCGCGCTGGCCGTGATCGTATAGTGGTTAGTACTTCGCGTTGTGGCCGCGACAACCCAGGTTCGAATCCTGGTCGCTCAAGATTTTTTTAGTCCGTGTATTTATAAACACTTAGTCAATTCATACTTAATCAAGTCATTAGATAAAGTAGAAAATAAACTATATAAAAAACTTTTTTAAAAACCACGTTTTTCATGTGTAGCAACGGACTAAAAAGGAGAAAATAAAATACTTAAAAAAAACTTTTTAAAAAACCACGTTTTTCTTGTGGACTAAAAAGTAAAAAATAACTATTTACATACATTTGATGACAAAAAACGTGGGTCGGGCAGATGGGTCGGGAAATTTGATGGTGAACGTACCCACGTTTTTTGTCATCAAATGTATGTAAATAGTTATTTTTTACTTTTTAGTCCACAAGAAAAACGTGGTTTTTTAAAAAGTTTTTTTTAAGTATTTTATTTTATTTGCAGTTTTTATTACCTGTATTTACATGACGCCCGTTATGGTTGAAGCACGAACGCTTGAATATTGTACAATTATTGTCGGTGTGTTCGCAGTTCCCATCATAGGTAAGATGTTTTTCACATATATAAGATCTTTATAGATCTATCTACTTCCAAAGGCTTATCTTATCTAACTTATCTTATCTAACTTATCTTATCTAACTTATCTTATCTAACTTATCTTATCTAACTTATCTTATCTAACTTATCTTATCTAACTTATCTTATCTAACTTATCTTATCTAACTTATCTTATCTAACTTATCTTATCTAACTTATCTTATCTAACTTATCTTATCTAACTTATCTTATCTAACTTATCTTATCTAACTTATCTTATCTAACTTATCTTATCTAACTTATCTTATCTAACTTATCTTATCTAACTTATCTTATCTAACTTATCTTATCTAACTTATCTTATCTAACTTATCTTATCTAACTTATCTTATCTAACTTATCTTATCTAACTTATCTTATCTAACTTATCTTATCTAACTTATCTTATCTAACTTATCTTATCTAACTTATCTTATCTAACTTATCTTATCTAACTTATCTTATCTAACTTATCTTATCTAACTTATCTTATCTAACTTATCTTATCTAACTTATCTTATCTAACTTATCTTATCTAACTTATCTTATCTAACTTATCTTATCTAACTTATCTTATCTAACTTATCTTATCTAACTTATCTTATCTAACTTATCTTATCTAACTTATCTTATCTAACTTATCTTATCTAACTTATCTTATCTAACTTATCTTATCTAACTTATCTTATCTAACTTATCTTATCTAACTTATCTTATCTAACTTATCTTATCTAACTTATCTTATCTAACTTATCTTATCTAACTTATCTTATCTAACTTATCTTATCTAACTTATCTTATCTAACTTATCTTATCTAACTTATCTTATCTAACTTATCTTATCTAACTTATCTTATCTAACTTATCTTATCTAACTTATCTTATCTAACTTATCTTATCTAACTTACGAGGTGGGCCTAAAGAGTGTGGCCCCGGTGCGGCACTTAATGGTGTCACCCGCCAGAGGCGTAATCGTGTCCCCCCCCCCCCCCCCCAAGGCGTAGCGACACTTTCCGGGGTCAAACTTTCCATTTTCGATTTGCACCCCCCCCCCAAACTTTCGATTTCCACCCCTCCCCTCGCCCCATCAAACTTTCGATTTGCACCCCCCCTCAGACTTTCGATTTGCACCCCCCTCAAACTTTCGATTTGCTCCTCTTAAAACACTATTTAACACTCGAATTAATCACTTAATTAATGGGAATTATCGTTTTCTCTATATATTTTGCTATTCTTTTGCCTTGGTGTCACCCCCCTAAATAGTGTCACCCGGTGCGGTCAATGTACACTGTTTTGTATTTCACAGGAGTTGCGAATACGTACCTGCACTACGAACAGAACCGACAGCTAAAAGAAATAAAGCGACTCATAATTGTTAATCACCTGCTGCAAGGCTACCGTCCAACAATAGAAACAGAAGACAAGGAACATCTCAGCGTCCCAAGGAGTAGTGAATCATTCTTGGCGGATTTGCTTGAATATTGATTTTTTTTATTTTTATGATGTACACTTGCAAACCCATCTAAAAATAACCAACAAACACCAGACACAACATATAAACATACATATTAAAAAGAATTAAGTTTTTTTTCACGTTTCTGGGCTTTTTTTCTGTTCCGTTACTTGTATATGTACGTGTACGTGTATGTGTACGTGTACGTGTACGTGTACGTGTACGTGTACGTGTACGTGTACGTGTACGTGTACGTGTACGTGTACGTGTACGTGTACGTGTACGTGTACGTGTAGGTGTACGTGTAGGTGTACGTGTAGGTGTAGGTGTAGGTGTAGGTGTACGTGTACGTGTACGTGTACGTGTACGTGTACGTGTACGTGTACGTGTACGTGTACGTATGTGTACGTATGTGTACGTGTACGTATGTATACGTACTATACGTATATGTATTATGGTAAGCGTATTGGTTAGAGTCAAGATCAGGGTTGGGATTACCTTAAAGATTAAGGCCAGGATTAAGTTTAAGTTCGAGATTAGACATATAGTTAAGGTCGAGGTTGGGCTCAAGTTTAGTATTTAAAATATTGTATGAAGTCTCCTAGCGTTCTAAAACCAGGCTAAGCTAAGCTAGAGCATCAAAAGTTGGCACCCACATTTGATGAAAGATGCCATGACTCTGCTTCCACGTTACCCTCGTCCATTGCAAGTAAAGACGGGATGACTCTATGAATTCATTGAATGTACTTGACACCACGGGTCAACTTCTGATATTAACTAGTCGACTTTATGACCTCAATGGTCAACATGTGACCTCATACGTCATCTTCTAAAACATGGGTCTCCAAACTTTTCAGCCCGAGGGCCGCATTAACTATCAAATATCAGTTCGGGGGCATCTGTTCCGGGTGTCTGAGCCCCCCCCCCCAAGAACGTCTTACCCCCCCCCCCCACCCCCAACACGTATTTCATTCTTGAAATTTTTTATTCACACAGGTATGCTGTTCCAAAATCTGAAAGGTACTTTTATGCAAAAAATTTAATATTAGGAAAGTCTTCCTTGTAAAAAACCACCCTTGCTTCTTTGAACTTGTCTTTAAGGAGGTCATTTGCTTGCAATTCACTTACCTTCAGCTGCAGTTCATCTGGGCAACTGGCCACATCTGCTTCAAATGGGTTTTGAAACAGTCTCACTTCTTCTGCCTTTGAATCCAAGTTAGAAAACTGCTGCTGAAACTTTGATGATCTCGCATTCAAATGACGTGGGGAGTTCAGCTGTTGTTTAGCCATGAAGACCTTGCACTGCTGAAAGTGAAGTTGTTGGCCTGTACTTGTTCCAAAAACATGACAAGTTAATGTGTGAAGGCCTTTAGGTGGGTGTATAGATCAAAAACTAGATTTTCTTCTCTTGTAAATTTAGGTTCCAAAAATTAAAATAACTGGTTATGTCTTCAGCAGAGGCCAATTTCTATACCCACTCTTAATCAGACATTATTGGCTGTAGCTTGAATTTACTTTCCAGAAAATAACCTATTTCCTTTCTCTATTCTGTGTTTTTTTTTTCAACAAGTCTCTGAACTATCTATGGTTAAGCCCATGTGGCCTTATTAAATTCACCACCTTCACCACATGATTCAGTACACTGCTAATGTCCATATATTTAGCAAACAAAGCTTGCTGGTGAATAATACAGTACAGGAACATTGGTTGTAGAATATTTTTCTCCTTCGGTTGTCCAACATAGCCTTTCTTTATGCCATTCGTGTACTTTCGACCATCAAAAGTTAGGCAACTGAAGTTAATCCAGTTAAAGTTATAATCAGCAAATTAATGTTTTTTTTTTTAACTCATTGAATATATCCTCTCTGGTATATGCACCCAAAGCTACTTTTTCAAACTACTTTGAATTTTCTGGGCAAAGTTACTCAACCACCTCCTACAAACAATTTTTCCGTAGACAAAAAGATCTCCGCGGGCCAGATGAGAGGACCTCGCGGGCCGCATCCGGCCAGCGGGCCGTAGTTTGGAGACTCCTGTTCGAAGAGAACAAGTCGAGCTGTGTGGTATTGTTTGTTGCATGATGATATCATACGTTTGTCTAGTGATTGTGTGACACTCCAAGGTTAAAGTCGTTGCTGAAGCCATGTAAGTGTCATACTCTCGAAGATTTAGATTAAAACTGTTTACAAGTTTCCTAACCAGCTATTAGAGTGGTTGGTTTAAAGGTAACGAGACTACATTGGCATTATTTATTTTTTAGGTTGTCTTTCATTATCCGACAGTTCTTGCTAGCTAGATTTGTTTCAACATTTTTATCCGAGAGGGGGGGGGGGGGTCACTGAAATACCCGGGGGGGGGGGGGCTGGTGGTACACTTGCCTAAAAGAAACCCTGCCGGTTGGCCCCAGTGCAACACACCTAATAAGTCACGTAAGTAGGCCAGTGTATGTGACCTAGATCTGGCTGCTCTCATTAAATAAAGATTACATAACAGAACAGAACGGAGTTGACAGGGGTTTTAGTGCAGGTACATCCACCAAGCCTGGCTTGAGCAAGATTTACCTCGGTCTTTCTTGTTGAGTGGTCGAATGGTAGAGCGTTTGGCTGCTAGCCTGAAGGTCTCTAGTTGTTTATAGACTTGTTACTTTATTTCTTGGTGAGTTGTTGACAAACATGTTGCTTGATATACCTCGGTCTTTCTTGGTGAGTACATCTGGCCAATGACTATAATGGAGAATGAAGCACGTAAGAAAAACCTGTTAAACGCTTCGATTACAATACTTCTTCTACACTCTGTATACGAGAAAGTAAAAATTAGCCACCATCTGTTTCAGTGTATTGAATACTTTAACGCAACTGGTAAACATAATATACGCTCGTGACGTCAGCTCATCATAGACATTGTTGACATTGCCAGGATTTTTTGACTGGAACAAACCGGCACAAATTCGTAACTTAGGAGCTAGTAGCTTGTTTTATCCAGCCATTGTTTTACTCCGACTGTCTGACGTGCTGGTCTCTACCTGGATTAACTTGTCAAGTTGGATTCACTGACCAAAGTCTGGAACTTTTACCTGGACATTTCTTACCAGAGAATGACTGACTTAAACCTGACTCATGACTGACTAAAACCTGACTCATGACTGACTAAAATCTGACTCATGACTGACTTAAAACCTGACTCATGACTGACTTAAAACCTGACTCATGACTGACTAAAACCCGACTCATGACTGTCTTTAAACTGACTCATGACTGACTTAAAACCTGACTCATGACTGTCTTTAAACCTGACTCATGACTGTCTTTAAACCTGACTCATGACTGACTTAAACCTGACTAATGACTGACTTAAAACCTGACTCATGACTGACTTAAAACCTGACTAATGACTGACTTAAAACCTGACTCATGACTGACTTAAAACCTGACTCATGACTGTCTTTAAACCTGACTCATGACTGTCTTTAAACTGACTCATGACTGACTTAAAACCTGACTCATGACTGTCTTAAACCTGACTCATGACTGTCTTTAAACCTGACTCATGACTGACTTAAACCTGACTAATGACTGACTTAAAACCTGACTCATGACTGACTTAAAACCTGACTAATGACTGACTTAAAACCTGACTCATGACTGACTTAAAACCTGACTCATGACTGTCTTTAAACCTGACTCATGACTGTCTTTAAACCTGACTCATGACTGACTTAAACCTGACTAATGACTGACTTAAAACCTGACTCATGACTGACTTAAAACCTGACTAATGACTGACTTAAAACCTGACTCATGACTGACTTAAAACCTGACTCATGACTGACTGACTCCTCTGGCAGGGTACCCGACGGTCCTGGCCCCAGGAATCCACCAGCTGTTTCAAAACAAAATTTCACGTCTGCCTATGGAGCAGACGTTTTACACCATGACGTCAACATGATGTACTACACACCGCCATCAACATGATGTACTACACACCGCCATCAACATGATGTACTACACACCGCCATCAACATGATGTACTACACACCGCCATCAACATGATGTACTACACACCGCCATCAACATGATGTACTACACACCACCATCAACATGATGTACTACACACCGCCATCAACATGATGTACTACACACCGCCATCAACATGATGTACTACACACCGCCATCAACATGATGTACTACACACCGCCATCAACATGATGTACTACACACCGCCATCAACATGATGTACTACACACCGCCATCAACATGATGTACACCACACACGGCCATCAACATGATGTACTACACACCGCCATCAACATGATGTACTACACACCGCCATTAACATGATGTACTACACACCGCCATCAACATGATGTACTACACACCGCCATCAACATGATGTACTACACACCATCAACATGATGTACTACACACCATCAACATGATGTACTACACACCATCAACATGATGTACTACACACCGCCATCAACATGATGTACTACACACCGCCATCAACATGATGTACTACACACTGCCATCAACATAATGTACTACACACCGCCATCAACATGATGTACTACACACCGCCATCAACATGATGTACTACACACCGCCATCAACATGATGTACTACACACCGCCATCAACATGATGTACTACACACCGCCATCAACATGATGTACTACACACCGCCATCAACATGATGTACTACACACCGCCATCAACATGATGTACTACACGCCGCCATCAACATGATGTACTACACACCGCCATCAACATGATGTACTACACACCGTCATCAACATGATGTACTACACACCGCCATCAACATGATGTACTACACACCATCAACATGATGTACTACACACCACCATCAACATGATGTACTACACACCGCCATCAACATGATGTACTACACACCGCCATCAACATGATGTACTACACACCATCAACATGATGTACTACACACCACCATCAACATGATGTACTACACACCGCCATCAACATGATATACTACAGACCGCCATCAACATGATGTACTACACACCACCATCAACATGATGTACTACACACCGCCATCAACATGATGTACTACACACCATCAACATGATGTACTACACACCACCATCAACATGATGTACTACACAC